TTAAGTTAGGTGCCACTGCCCCCCTCGTAGTTTGAATTTTGCCTGGGAGCTATACAAGCCAGAAAGTGGGGATGGGGGAATGGGGGCTGCACACCTGGAAAAAGAAAGGTATTTTGGAAAAAAAAAAAAAGCATATGGCTTGACACGGTCTGATTTCCATTTGGAGCTAGTTATTGTCAGGCTTCTGAAAACAAGGTTTCCAGACAGACACCATTAAAATTGTCCATAGTCGTTTCTTTCCCCAGAAATGTGGCAGTGGCCGAGCAGAGGGGCTGACCCTGCCCTCCTCTTTGGGTGCTCTTGTCCCCAGCATCCCTGCGGAACGCACTGGAGCCCCTGGAGAGCACCAGATCTCCAGGAAGAACAGCATGTCAGCAGTGTGCTGGTGAAGGAGGAGATCAGCATGAAAATGCGTTTACATGGAATTTTAGATCTATCCCTTCCTTTGTTTTAAAGCCATGCTGCATGTAACTTTTTAAGAGACTCGTTCTGTTTATTTATTTACAGCTTTAAGGGACACTGGTGCTTCCTGTGCTGGGCAAAATGCAGGTGTCAGGAATTTGTTGTATCCTGGTGGACTTCTGACCTAGAGAGCGAGATCTGATGTGAAGTAACACGTTTCCAAAGCACATTATTTGTGAGCTACACTTGTACTGACACAGAAGAGAGGAGCAAACATCACCCAGAGAAGCAGCACTGTGTGCAAAGGACGGGCACAGATTGCAGGATGGTGACTGGAGCTCAGCGGGCTCCGCTTCATACTCATGTTACCTTCCTGATGAGACATCTGCACCTTGAATTTCCTCTTGCTCCAGCTAACCGGTGACTTCAATGCATCTGCATGTGTGAGTAAAGATTGTTGGAATGAATTATGATTTTTTAAATCATGTCTGAAATGCAGCTATTTGTGAGCGTACGTCGCAGGTGCTTCGGACCCCACAGAGCCAGGGAGAATCAGAGCAGGGGGGCAAAGAGCGGAGGAGATGAACGAGTGCTGGAGCTCAGTGGCTGTGTGCAAGCTCGCAGAAAGCCTTGAAGGAAAATGGTTCAGTGAGGAGACACAGCACAGCCTCCTCGTCCCTTCCAGGGCAATCCCCTGCTCCCGCTGACCCTGGGCTGGCACCGGCTCTCGCTGCCCAAGGAGGAGGAGGAGGGATACTGGCATCACTCATGCCGTGGGAAGCATTCCCAGTGCTGCTAACACCTGCTGCAGAGGGCTGTTGCCACCATTTATTGACATTCGATGGCTGAAAAGTGACCTTCATTGCTTTGAGGTAACTCAATCTCCTGAAAATACCTGTGTCTCAAGAACATTCATACCCGCAGCTGAACAAACTGAAAAAATACACTAACAATTTTCTGGAGAAGACCTTTTGCTGCTCAAAACGAGCTGTTGCATCCATTCGCTTCTGCCTTTACCAGCATAACTAGCCTCAACACATCATCGCTGCTCCATTGGGAGTGCAGCTGCTGGACTGGCCCTAGTCAGAAACGTGCGGTGCCTCAGTTTCCCTGACTGCTGCCTGACCTTGGATAAATCACTTACTCTTTGTGCGCATTTTTTCCTTATCTCTAAACCAGAAGTAGAGGTGGCTGAGATGGTAATAGTACTTCCCTGCCTTGCAGCAATGCTGAAAAGATAAATTCATTAATGAGACACCCATCTATCTGCTCTGCTATGGGCCATGTAGATAAATAGACAGATTTATCCAGTGCATTCTGGCAGCAAAAAAAGACAAAATGTGATCTGTACGTAAAAGTGGGTCTGCATCCCCTGTTAACAGAGAGAGGGAAAAAAAAAGCCCCGCTGAGGACGGTGATTTTCTCCCTCTTTGTATTTATCCTTGCCACAAGCCTGTGAGCCATTTCAGCGCTCGAGAAAGTATGGATTAGCGCGGCTGACGTCAGGCGCCAGCGTTGTGTGCAGGGTTCCTGATAACCCCCCCACTGTCATCTGCAGCACCCCGGATTTGTTCTGGCCACTCTTGCACTGAAACCGTTTGAGCAAAAGAGTTTATTATGTAATGTGCCCAAATTACAAGCCATAACAAACCCTTTTGACTGACTTCACACCCAGGAAAAGTCAGACTACGAGAAAGCAAGCTGTTGTAACAAACTTTGATACAGCATTACAGGATGACTAAGGAAGAATTTTGGAATAAATCAAATATTTCTGTTTTCCTGGCAGCTTTATGACATACATGTTTTTATTTTCTGCTTTGAGCTACATGCTGTCCATCTGAGTCAGGCAAGTTGCCTCGTTGCTAGCCAAAAGGATTTGCTGCAGGAGTCCTCTGTGGATCAGGGAACAGACCTAGGAAGGCGAGGGCAAATGTATATTCATGTATTCAACCAGCAGTATAGATAAAAAGAGAAAAAAACAATGAAAAAAATATTAACAAAAAAAAAAAGTCTAGGAGAAGAGCCTTCAAAGAACCAGAATTTTTAAGTCCTAGCTGTGGCATAACGAGCATTAGATTTCGTAGAAGTCGTTTGGGAGAATAACCAGAAAACTGAATACAGAGGCAGTAAATGATTGACATTTAAGATATAGCATTTACCCACAATAACTACCATCATTGCTGCTCTAAGAACAGCATAAAGCTGCAGGAATCTCACGCCATAATTCAGCAGCATTTCCAGAATGAAGAGGAGGAATCACACAGCTGCTGCCAGAGAAGAGCCTCCAAAAGCCTGTCACAGGCAGGAGCTCGTCTGCTGGGAAGCCAGTGGTGAGGATCAGAACATGGCTTTGCTGGGCTTCTCCAGGTGACCTCCATCACATAGACTGCATGACAGCACTATTGCTGTCACCTGCAAAATATCAGCCTTTCTTACTCCAAACCGAAGCTACGAAGCAGGAAGAAAAATAAGCTACAATATGTGTGTACCCACAGACCGTCCTTTTATTTCTGAGCATGTTGGGAGATCTGCTGGGAAACAGTCCCTCTCCCTACAAATCCTGTCTTCCTTGTATGTCCTTCAGCAGTGTTCTGGATGGCGAGTGGCAGTGGAGATCTGATTAGTGCTCCATATAAGAGATCACAAGCATTTGATTGCTTCAGATGACATGTTTTCTTGGCCTTGCAACTGGTTAATGTAATGGTAAGTTAGTGAAGTAAACGGTATTGTTGTAACTCCTAAATTTAGGTCATTCAGTGCATCTGCATTAGGTATCCAGTTACACAGCTTGCACAAAGGAGAACTTTTCTAACACAAATGGGAGTTTTTAGGCTGTTACTAAGCTTCTTTAGCGCTTGGTATCCTTTCATACTTTATCCAATTATAATTAAGTGGTGTTTTTAATCTTCAAAGCATTTTATAAACCTTACCTAATTAATCTTCCCAGCACCTCTGTGTGGCAGGTAAGCATTCATTAAGTACTTTTGATTCATAATTAGGCGCCAGCTAACTGTTTAAATAATTCAGTTCAGAAAATCTAAATGAAAAAAAAAAAAATTGTTCCCCTTTTACCTAAACAGTGGGACAAACCATTATTGTTTAATCCAATGATGTCTCCTTCCACTTAGTTGGGGTTTGGAGAATCAACTAGTTTGATTGATTGAACACTCTAAGGTTCCTTATAATTGCACAAAGAAATCAAGCTTGATTGTTCTTGTCACTTGGGTATTGCACTGAAATTATGCTGTTAAAAATAAGTAGCACCATATGTGAGAAATGCATTGTTTTAGCTAGATGGAGAGGGAGGACTTTTTGGT